ATTATATCTATTCTTAATTCTTGACAATCCGTGAATACTTACAAAATAATATCAATATCTCTTTATATCAAATAAGATTCAAATTTGAATATTTAGTTTTTGAATTAAATGTTTAAAAAAATTTAAATTTATTTAAGAGAGACAAATATATGTCAGTTGATTTTAAAAGAAAAATTGGTGTCTTTTTACATAATTAAATTATTAATATTTAAAATACAATTAAATAATTAAATTGATTATCAATTATCATTTCATACTATTTTTTATATTGATTTTATTAAATCATCATATTTTTTAATGTATAATTCCTACAAATACTTTCATCTTTCCTCTTTTTATTATTTATATTTTATAAAGATGCATGAAAAGTTTTCAACCCAGGAATATGAAGCTTTTTTCGTTATTTTTATTGTCTTGATTTCATGTTTTCCCCATGGATGTCATAAGTGGAAGTGTAATTCACGAAATAATTAAAAGTTTTCTGTTATTCCTATTATTTAGACATTTTTAACAATTACAAAATTTATATAAGGGTTTAATTTAAATAAAATAATGTCTTTAAATAGATAGACAATATAGATAGAACATATAGTTCAGGCTTGATATTCCTATTACTAGAATTTAGTTTTTATTAGAATTAATACTTACAAAATTGATTTTTACAAATATTTATTAATTGGAATGAAAAAATCATATTGTGCAAATATTTAACAACAAAATTTAACATTAAAACAATGATATCATCTTTTAGACTGATGAAGCTTGCCTATAAATCTATGTGTAGAATGTAGCATAACTAATAGACTTTATGTATATTTGTGGATGTATGTTATATGGACATGGTACAATAATGCATGTATTTACAGAATTATATTGTAATTGGAATAGAGTGAACGCATAATTGATTTTATTAATGCAATTTAATTATATGATTTGGGTTGTAAATGTATAATTTTATTTGTTTACATATTTGTCAGTATGGATAAATATATTGAAAACTAAATAGGATTTCAAGATGCATTACGCACAATTTATGCTTGGTGTTGTACAATATTATTGTTGCTTTAAATTTTTTTATTACATAATAAATTTCAACATTTTTAGCTATAAATAGATTATATTGGGTATGGTAATAAGTTTCCGCCCTTTTTGAAAAGAAAAAGATGTGTTTATTTAAACAAATCTATATAAGTGAGTTTATTCAAAGTATGCTCCTTCGGAAGCGACAACTTTCTCCCACTTTTCCGGTAATAAACGGATTCCTTGAATGAAAAAATCTGGTTCTTTTGAAGCGATCCATTCATCAAGCCATTTTTTGATATCTTCATAAGAATT